GCCTAGCCAGGGAAAAGAAAATTTCTCGGGAGCCTCCAATGGGAAGGATTGTGAACTTCTTTTTCTCTTCTTCTTCTTCTTCTTCTTCTTCTTCTTCTTCTTCTTCTTCTTCTTCTTCTTCTTCTTCTTCTTCTTCTTCTTCTTCTTCTTCTTCTTCTTCTTCTTCTTCTTCTTCTTCTTCTTCTTCTCCTCCTTCCTCTTCCTCTTCTTCTTCTGTTGCAGAAGCTTCCTCAGATGCCACCTACGGGATGCTGGTGGCCGATCTTTGCCACTCTCTGCTCACGGATTCCAAGGCGTCCTACCTTCTAACCATCAAGAGCCATTTTGTCCTGGATGAAAACAGTTTCCCTTTGGAGAAAGACTTCCGGCTGCTGGAATTCCACCTCGATCTCTGAAGCCAGGCCTTTTCTAATGAGGTTCCTCACTCAAGTTCACAACCACAGAAAGACGTAAAATAGGGCGATGTGGACGAGTTTTGTTTTTTGTTTTTTTTGGTCTTGGAAATGAATGCGTGTTATTTTTACGAGTGCGTCTTAAGAGCAGTGATTTCTTCAGACCGTTATTAAAAAGCTACTCAAAAGCTGACTGATGTTTTCTTTGTTAGACTTTCAGGAAGTTCCTGAAAAAAGAGATAAAGACATCTGGAAACTCTTCCCGGCCAACTTTGTTTTAAATGTGTCGCCTAAAAAAAATAAAATATTTTTCCTTGCCGCACCCTTTTTTTTTTTTTTTTTTTGTCAGCCCCAATTTTTCGCCTTCCTTGCCATCACGCCAGCTTATCTATCAGAAGCTCCTGGTTTTGGAAGTAAATATATTGTAATAGCAGAAAGACATTTTCCTCTTCACAAACGGGGGGGCTTCAGCTACGTTATCAAACTGGCGGCAGGGATTTCTACATTTGCGTTTAAAAAAAAAAAAATACCTCTAATCCCTGGAGGAGATGTGCCAAATGCACTCAGCTTGCAAAGCAAATAAATGCTTCAAAGGGAGAGGAAAAAAACAAACCAGACTTTAAATTATGCTCCTGATTAAAAGATACCAGGGGGCAAAAAAAACCCCCCCCAAAAAAAAACCACCCTATTTCTCAGTCTATTCCTGTGGAAAAAACAGGTTTGCGTTCAAAGTGCCGCCTTAAGTGAATATAATAACTCTTTCCTCTATTTGTGTAATTTAGGGGTTTTAGTTTGGTGTGGAGCCTGGCTGAACTTGGATCTGTGGTGGGAAGCCTAGATCTTAAAATGTTGATCTCGTACTGGGAGCCAACACCACCCCTCCCTTCTAGCACTGATGATGTTCCCTAGTTGGGTAATGAAACGTCTGCAAGAAAACAAGCCGGTTCAGAGAGCACCAAGGACCCCATAGTCCTCTTCCTCCTCCTCTTCTTCACAAATTGCTCTCCCTTCTAGCACTGATGATGTTCCCTAGTTGGGTAATGAAACGTCTGCAAGAAAACCACCCAGCTCAGAGAGCACCCTGCACCCGACAGTTCTTTCCTCCTCCAACTCCTCCTCCAACTCCTCCTCCTCCTTACAAACCCCACTCCCTTCTAGCACTGATGATGTTACCTAGTTGGGTAATGAAACATCTGCAAGAAAAGCACCCAGCTCAGAGAGCACCAAGGACCACAGTTGTCGTTCTCCTCCTCCTTCTCCTCTTCACAAACTGCTCTCCCTTGTAGCACTGATGATGTTACCTAGTTGGGTAATGAAACGTCTGCAAGAAAACCACCCAGCTCAGAGAGCACCAAGGACCCCACAGTCGTCGTCTTCCTCCTCCTCCTCCTCCTGCAAAGTCAACAATAATATCTTCTATTGGGGCTGGCTGTGGTGTGTGCGTGGCCGGGAGTTTAGCTGGGCAACATCTGGAGGCCTATAGGTCCATCCCTGATAGAAAACTCTTCTTTCCTCAAAGAATCCCGAGTCAACAGGCATTTGGTGGCCCCTCCCAATTATCCACTAAGTGCAGCAACCAGCCTCTCTCAGCTGGAGTGAGCTCTGTCGTTCCTTCAGCCAAAGCACAGCATAAAATGGAGAGGCAGCCTTATCCTTGCCATCGGCAAACCCCTTGCTTGACTTCGCTGAAGTATTTACAGTGGCAATTTTCAGCACCGGAGTGGCTTTCTGCATAGGCAAGAATATTTTTTTGTGGGCCTTGTTCCTTGTGCCCAACTCAATTGTGTGCTCGGGAAAACTGCGAGGGGTGGGCCGTTGAGTAGGTGCGTGTGGGAAGCCAGGCAGAACGTGCTAAGGTCTCTGGACAACGTGCAACGATGATTAAGAGAACGTGCGCCAATTTATTGTTTTCCCATGCCCTTGATTGAAGGCAACTTTCAAGACCTGTGGACTTGCAGCTCCCGGAATTCCTTAGCCAGTTGTGATTTTCTGGGAATTCTGGGGAGTTGGAAGTCCACAGGATTTAAAGTTGCCAAAATCGGACACCCCTGATTTAAGACGAGACCCACAATGACGGGGACAGCGGGAAGGTCTCGTTTCCCAGGCTTTGCAGTATTTTATTTTAACAAAACACAATGCGGGACAGACCATCAAAAGACACAAGATCTGGCTCAAAAGATATTTCATACACATGTTCTTTTGCTATAGATCAACCAGAACACAACACACAGCACAGTGGTGGGTTGAAACATGATGCCCAGTCTTCCTTTGCTGGATCACAGTTTGTTCGCAAAAGCATAAGGAGCACAGTTTACAAAACAAGGAGCATGCATGAGCTAGAACCACGATACGGCTGCCAAATGCTGTAGCGATCCTCCACTAACCAGGTTTGCAAGAATTTGACCCAGTCTGTACAGGATGGTCGTCTTCCAGCATTAGCCACAATGGTAGGTCAACATGCATTGAGGCATTTGTACTATCTGGCCATTAGCATTGACAAGCTCATCTCCAATCATGGGGTTTACAAACCATGGATTCCTATTAGAAGATCTAAGCCCAAATGAAACAAACGACGTTATTTCAGCACAATGTGCAAAGTCATTATTTGCCACCCAGTGGAGGGCACGATGTTGCTTTACCAGAACTCCTTTATAAATTATAATAATGGAGCAAAGAGTAAAATCTTGTCTTTTTGCAAAAGAACATCGGACTCATTAATTCTACTTGTATCTACTGTATCCTGTTCTGACAAAAAACAAAACAAAAAAACTTTCCTGTTTCAATTAATTTCCTGATTATTTTTTCCTTTTGCTCCAGAGCGGTGGAGCTAAGGAATAAATTAGTAGCTACAAAAAGATCACGAGTTGACTCTTGCAGGAGTTTCTGAAATTATTTTATATTTCCCCTCCCCAAGTTTGTTTAAATAATGGACATGTTATTTGTGAACACAGCAAAGGGATCCCAAGTAGAATTTACCAAGATTGAACTGAATCTCAGATTAAAAGGTGAGGTTCTTTTTCTTGTTGTTGAGAGCCCTACTCTGTGAATATTTTTTTTTTGTATTTGTGTAGAGCATGGGTGTCCTGGTTGGGGGATTCTGGGAGTTGAAGCCCACCAGCATTGCCAAGGTTGGGCATCCCTGTTGTAGAGGTTTATAATTTGATCTTCAAGAATCCTGTAGTAGCTCAAAGCCTTCCTTTATCAACACAGAATTTTGCCGAACTACGTCACACAGCATGAGAATGGAAAAAGTCTTCTCACAACAGGAAACAGCTCCAATAACGCAGACATTATGGTTGTGACTCCATAGATCAGATTACAATGTTTTCCTCGTTGCTGTCTTTATCAGCCAGTTTTCTACCAAATTTTTTAGCAACAATTCACTAAGGCAGGGGTAGGCAACCTTGGCTCTTTTATGACTCGTGGACTTCAACTCCCAGAATTCCTGAGCCGGCCATGCTGAGGGAAAGGGAGAGGTTTCCAGGAATTCTGGGAGTTGAAGTCCATGAGTCATAAAAGAGCCAAGGTTGCCTACCCCTGCACTAAGGAAAGAGAAATAACTCGTGGAGTGGAAATGTTTTTCTCTATTGAAAGGACTTAAGGATTAAACTCTCTTTTAATGGCAGAATCAAATTTTCCGAGAACTCCATGATGGAAATCTGAATGTCCATTTCTACTGTCAATAGTAAGTCCATGGAAATTTCAGAAGAACAAGAGTTGGGAGCGACTTTGAAAGTCTTCTAGTCCAGCCCCTTCTCAAGCAGGAAATCCTATACCATTTCAGACAACAACTATCCAGTCTCTTAAAAACCTACAGTGATGAAGCATCCACAACTTCTAACGGCAAGTCGTTCCGCTAATTAATTGTCCTGGTGGGAAATTTCTCCTTCGTTCTAGGTTGATTCTCTCCTTGATTAACTTCCATCCATTGCTGCTGCTGCTGCCTTCAGGTGCTTTGGAAAATAGGTTGACCCCTTCTTCTTTGGGGCTGTTCCTTAGATCAGAGGTCCCAACCTTTTGGGCACCAGGGACCGGTTCCATGGAGAGACGTTTTTCTGCGAACTGGAGGGTGCGTGGTTGTGTGTGCTGCCTACATCCCAACGATGGGGCTTCGCTTGTTTGTGCGGACCGGTTGCTGACATGCCACGGACCAGGGGTTGAGGACCCCTGCCTTAGATACTGGATGACTGCTATCATATTACCCCTGGCACTTATTTTCATTACACTAGACCTACCCAATTCCTGCAACCATTCTTCACCAAGGAGATAGCTTGAATGTTTATGCTCACTAAAGACAACTAGCTGACCCTTTTTTCTGAATCATCTGCAAGGTGATTCATTTCTTCGCTGATAATCACTGAACTCCTGTATGAGATCTTACAAGCCTGTTCCCAAGATGAACAATAAATAAGCTGTGGAAATATTCTAGACAGCAGATTGGGAGGGAGGAAGATTTTACTCAACTAGTTGTTGCTGAGTCTAGGGCAGTGGTTCTCAACCTGTGGGTCGGGACCCCATTTGGGGTCGAACGACCATTTCACAGGGGTCGCCAAACAAGGCTGTCTGCCATTTTTCCCCCTTTGGCCACGCCCCTGGCACCCGGTGATGTATAAGTGATTGGGGGTCACCACAACATGGGGAACTGTATTATGGGGTCGCAGCATTAGAAAGGTTGAGAACCACTGGTCTAGGGAGTGGTGCTCATCTCCCTTTCATAGCCATTGAGCCAGCACTTCAAAGACATTGCCGAGGTCCTGAAGCTAGCATGACAACTTGAAGTGCTATTACCTGTTGTGATTCCTCACCAGCCCGTAGATCTGGCAGCTGAGTCTGAGGGATGAGAGGAGGAGGAGGAGGGGCCTGGAGTGACATCAGAGTCAGAGGAGCTACAAGATTTAGAAAATTGACGAGGAGCCTGGCCCCTCTACTCACGCTCAGGTTGAGACACAGCTGTGCTGAGAAGCTGAGGGGAATAGTGATGACTCACAGCTGGGTGACATTCAGGATGCTCGTAAATGCCGGCAGGCAAAGAGAGCAGGACAAAGGAATGCAATGGGGCGGCTCCAAAGGCAAAGGAGAAGGCATTAGGAAGCCACGCCTTGGCTGTATAATAAAAGAGAAGGTGTGGGAGGTGCTGGCTGCCGAAGGCAACCGTTCAGGTTAAGAATCAAGTTGCGATGAACTGTGTTTGTTTTTTCCTCAAGTCTGTGAGTAAGAAAAGGGGTTTAGGTTTGTCCTGCAGTTTCTGCCTGCTTGATTTGAAGAGGGGTTGTCTCCTTGTGAACTTAACAAGGAGTTCAACTAGGCTGGGACAGAACATTACATTTCCACCAAAGTGGTACCTATTTATCTACCCGCATTTCTATGCTTTCAAACTGCTAGCTTGCAGCAGCTGAGCAAGGAACAGGAGCTCACCCTGTTGCATCAAGCCTGGGTCTCAAACTAGGGCTGCCGGCTTTCCAGTTGACAGTGTCTTAGCCATCTTAACCACAACTACTCTGAGTCAGGACTAAATAAATGACTAAAATGAACTAAACGTGTTTATTCCATTTAGTTCAATAGTCGTGCTTTCAGCAGGAGTGCCGCAATGTTATTTTGGAAGAGTCCTTTTGTAGGTGGTCATTTCATAAACTCTTTTATCTGGGATTACAGCAACCAACCTGACATAGATACTCTTAACCCCTTAATTTCAGCTCTTGAGTTATACCGAAATATTCTACTAATTCACAGAACCTAGGGGTTGAGGCATCAAAAGTCAGCAATACGTCCGGTACACGTTTCTTGTGATTGATGGGGGGGGATCTTCTCGTTTTTAGGATCAAACAATCTTCTCATTTTCGTTCAGTGGGTAATCTGAGAGAATCTACTAGCATGAGATTCTTCAAGAAAGGTGGTCCCTTGCCTTTTGATCACTGAGACCGAGAACCTCTGTGATGAATAGAATCAGACTTTACCTCTGATGGACCCACCATGGAAATAGAAACTATCTATTGTAAGAGTTTTCAGCTGCTAAGCGACAACGCATGCCATCTTTTGACCAGCTCCTTGGGTTTACTCATCATCTCGTTCCAATGTTCAAGTTCCTTCCCCCGGGTGTACATGAAGGGCCCCACAATCACACAGCCCAGCGAGGATGTCTCTAAACAAAAGCCACAAAAATCATTAGGATTAAATAAAGATCAGGGCGAAAACGTAAATGTGAGTCCCCAAGGCTACTTACCATCTCCCTGCAGAACAGACAAGTTCAGACTGGTTGCGTCGAGGTCCAGCTGGTCCACCTTGAAGCTAAAAGTCTCATTGTACAACGGATTGGAGGATCCAATGATTGCTGTGGTCCTTTTGCTTTTGATGAGCTGGTTGTGGTTCATTAGTGACACTCTGACACACACACCTGGAACGAAAGGATGAGGTTGGAAACACTGAGAAGAAAAACAATACTCAAACACAAGCTCCAAAGTGACACTTTGGAAGAATACAATTTTAATTTAATGTTATGGATTGCACCTCCAACAATACTCCAATTTTTCCAGCAACATAAGCATGGATATGGGAAATTTGATCTTGTTGCAAAGTAGATATAGATATATCTAAAACCAAGTTTGGTCAATATCCAATGTATGCTGCTCAAACATCTAATAGGAAAGTCTTGCACTGAATACTTTGAGTGTATCATCTTTTGATGCCTTATCAGAGAGCCAAAACGCATTGTTTTGATATCAGGACCCTTCCAATGCTATTCTATATGATTTAAATTCATCCAGACAGTGTGAATGTGATCTCTTCTCACCTCAGATATATATAGAGGGGCAGGAACACACAACTTTTCCATTCTTTTTTTCTTTAGCCTCCAATCAACAATCAACCAACGGAACAGAAGTTGCCTTCAGATGTTGTGGGAGCTTCCTCACCGAAAGCTTTCAAGAAGAGATTGGACTCCCATCTGTCATAAATGGCGTAGTAGGTTCTCCTTTTTGGTTGGGCGGGGTTGGACTAGATGACCTACAAGGTCCCTTCCAACTCCGTTATTCTAAATGTCTCTGGCGCTGAAATTGTTAATATTTGTTTTATTTTGGTAAGTTGGGAGCGAGGTCCTTGCAAAATAAATGGGTGAAACCTCCTAGAGATCCTGTTATGACTGCAGGAGAAAGCCAAGACCCAAAACTCAGGGCACCAGGAAGCAGTGATTTGTTGACTCACAAAATACCAGCTATCTGACCTTGGAGAAGTTTTCACAAGGTCTTGAAAAGGGTTCTAAGAGAGGGAAGTCACCTGCAGTTGAGATCTTTTGTTCACAGAATAAGCATGAAGCTATCAAGGTAGGGGAAATTAGCACCAATCTCACCCCCTGCCTGGTGGATTAGTGTCAATCGAAATCAAGATGGTGGCCACAATGGTGTGATCAATGCCCTGACTGTCTTATCTGCATTGTACAGGCAATACACATAAAAAGAGTTTTGATTGCACCTCTGCATTTGCCAATTTGACTTTTTTTTTTACCACAATCTGTACCCCTTTCTTTATAATGCCTCAATACATTGCCAACTTGGGGTGTCTTGGGAAAGAGAGGGTTAGGGGCATATAAAATGTGAAGGATTATGCATGCCCCCATAAATCCCCATTTGTCCACTTTTTAATAGGCTGGAGTATTGTAGTGTAAGTTTACACACCAATTGATAAATAGCAAATGTCAAATACTGCAGCGTAAGATCATGAGATGTCAAATACAGATAGGATATGAAGCAAATATTGAAATCTGAGAATATTTAGAGGACATTCGACAGTCTCAGAGTAAAATCTTTGGGGATGAAATTGCTTGATACGAAGAATAAACAGTTTTTGAAACAGGAATTTTGGGCTAAAATTCTGTACACGGAGGAATTACTTTAAATTACTGTAGGCTGCTGCAAATTTCTGAGTAGCCACTGGATGGCAGCAAAGAGAAACAAGAACTATATCTCAATCCTGCCACCTAGTGGACTGGAGTTTCATAATCCAGATAGGGTACCAATTTAGACCCAAACTGAGATGTGGGATACACATTCAAATATTTAATTTGAATTTAATTTAACTTTTGCCCGCTTTCCTCTCACGGTTGAAGAACGGAGGTGCCAGGTTAGTCAATTTTCCAGCTGATGATTAGAGAGGTCATCAACAGGCTTATCCTTCAGAATACAGTCATGAACAAGACAAGAGTTATTCCTACAAATTTGACTTAGAAGGAAGAAAAGAAACGAAGCAAAATAGTTGTAGATATCTCCCATACTGACCAATACCATTTCGCTCTTTCTGGACCTTTAAACCTCGCGCTCTCAGCACCACCACCGTGAGACGGGCCAGGTAGTCATTGTAGCTGAGAGAGAACTGGAGGTCACCATGTTCAGAAGGTGGCTTGAAGGAAGCAGAAAAAGACACGGGTCAGAAATCTTAAACAAATACTATTTCTTCCACAACTTGAGCTCTTATTCACTCCAATTAGTGGGATGGCTAAACCAGAAACGGCAGAGCTAATGAGTCTATAATTAATTCTCCTTCATCCACCCCAGATGTTGCTGGATGGGCAGCATTGTGGTGAAGGAGGAGAATGTTGCTCAACTTGAAATAAGAAAGGTCCTCCGACATCAGCAACATCTGATTCCTTTCCTCAACAGATTTCTTCTGTTTGACTGATAAGAGGGGAAAAGGCCAATAAGATCAGTAGGATTTTTTTGGCTCACCCAATCTGATGCTGATTATAGTCACACATAATGCTAAGCCAGGGTTTTTTTGAAGAACACATCAAGGTTTAGTTTGAACACAAGTCAGAAGTACCTCATTTTAGATATCAAGACTTAATTTGATCCTCTCTTCCCTTATCTGTATTCCCAGATTGCTAAAAAGTATATGTATTTGTATTGCTAAAAAAATATGGCACAAATCCTCACCATTTTGAAACAGGACACACTTGATCCTTGTCGCTCTCAACATGGACTTAGAAAGCAAAGAACGTCCTTCAAACGGTCCCAACAAATCAAAAGAAAAACAGCCTCAACTAATTTTTGTCCTCACTGCCCCATTCTCGGTGAACCCACAGCTCCCCCAGACTATAACAGTTTCTCACACACAAATGAGCAATTTCACAGACTGCACTAAGTTCAAAACACTTATAGAGGAAGTTAATAATCTGTGAATTCTAGCCAACGTCAAATTCATTGCTTACAAAAGAAAAAAAAACCCCACCCCAAACAAACTGTGTGCTTATTCATCTAACAAATTTAATATTTTACCTCCAGGTTATCTGGTTCCAAATCTTTCCAGACCACAACCTTTCCATCTTCAGCCAAAGTTTCATTTTTCAGTGGGAAGATAACTTGGCCCAGGAGAATGTGCTTCTTCTGTTTATCAACATGGTAGACACAGAACTTCAGCGTCCTCTGAAATAAAACAGCACTTGAAATCTAGAGAGGAGGAAGCACAGGAGGAGAAGCAGTTGGGATGAATCTGACTCTGAAAGTGGGGCAGACCAAGATCATCTGGGATATTCAAGGTAATGCAGATAGCTCAGAACTTTCTTCCCTTTAATTCTGGGAATAGGTAAAGCTGCATCCTGGTCAGTTTCTCCAGAGGGGACTTTCCAAGGTTTCGTGAAGGATAAGGGAGCATTGGATCCAACAATTCAATCGTCTGCTTTCAAATGAGAATGATCTTCCAAAGAGACCACCGTTGGTCACTCCTAACTCAACATTTGGGAGTGATAAGGTCTTGAGGATTGTTTGGGGTCTGGTGTGACTGGCTGGCTGAGAACCTAGCTGACTGACTGGCTGGCTGAGAATCAAGATCACATGAAGTATTAATACCACTTTACAAGGCCTTGGTAAGGCCACACTTGGAATACGGCATCCAGTTTTGGTCACCACGATGTAAAAAAGATGCTGAGACTCTAGAAAGAGTACAGAGAAGAGCAACAAAGAAGATTAGGGGACTGGAAGTTAAAGCATATAAGGAACAGCTGGTGGAATTGGGTATGTCTAGTTTAATGAAGAGAAGGACAAGGGGGGACAGGATAGCAGTGTTCCAATATCTCAGGGGCTGCTCCAAAGAAGAGGGAGTCAAGCTATTCTCCAAAGCGCCTGAAGGCAGGACAAGAAGCAACGGATGGAAACTAATCAAGGAGAGAAGCAATCTAGAACTAAGGAGAAACTTCCTGACAGTTAGAACAATCAACCAGTGGAACAACCTGCCTCTAGAAGCGGTGAATGCTCCAACACTGGAAGTTTTTAAGAAGAGACTGGACAGCCATTTGTCCGAAATGGTATAGGGTTTCCTGCCTGAGGAGGGGGTTGGACCAGATGACCTCCAAGGTCCCTTCCAACTTTATTGTTGTTGTTGTTGTTGTTATTATTATTATTATTATGGATCATCGCACAGTCAGCCAGATGTTTAGACTGGATTTGGCATTTTGTCTACCTATCGAGTCCTTACCCAGGACCTGGGATAGGCAGATGTGGATGTTTGATGGCAGATGTGGATGTTTGATGGTATTACAGGTATCGTCGCAGGATGGAAGCAGTTCCTAATAAGGCCGCCTTTTGCAATTGACTAATAGCGAATTTGTCAATGCCAATGGGTGTTCAAGTGGTGCTCCAGTTGTTTTGGGATTGCACCCAAGGAGCCTATGACTATTGGTACTACCCTTGCTTGCTTTTGCCACAATCTTTCTATTTCTATTTGTAGGTCTTTGTATTTTGTTATCTTCTCCAGTTCTTTCTCTTCTATTCTGCTATCTCCAGGCACTGCCACGTCCACTATCCAGACTTTTTTGTCTTTCTTATCGACAATTGTTAAGTCTGGGGTGTTATGTTGCAGGTGCTTGTCTGTTTGAATTCTGAAGTCCCAGAGCAGTTTAATTTTATCATTTTCTATGACTTTCTCTATTTTATGATCCCACCAGTTTTTGCTTACAGGCAAATGATATTTTTGCAGATCTTCCAATGCACCATTGTTGCTACTTTGTCATGCCGCTGCTTGTAGTCAGTCTGTGCAATCTTCTTGCAACAGCTTACCAAGTGGTCCACTGTTTCTTCAGCTTCTTTGCATAGGCGGCACTTACTGTCTGTTGCTGTCTTCTCAATTTTGACTTTATATGCATTTGTCCTTAAGGCTTGGTCTTGTGCAGCCAGAATTAGTCCCTCGGTCTCTTTCTTCAATTTTCCTGCTCTTAGCCATTGCCAGGTTTTATTATTATCTGCTTTCCCAGCTATTTTTTTAATGTATTGGCCATGTAGTGCTTTGTCTTCCCATGCCTCTATTCTGTTCTTCATTTGGTCTTTCTTGTAGGCCAGTTTGGTCTCTCCAGTAGTTAGTAAGCCTTCCTGATATACTAATTTCAGTGCATCTTCATCATTGTTCTTCAGATATTCTTCCAAAGCCATTTTTTCTTCTTCAACCATCTGATGTACTTGTAGCATTCCACGCCCACCTATTTGCCTTGGTAGATAAAGTCTATCAATGTCACTGCGTGGATGAAGGGCATGATTCATTGTCATTATTTTTCTGGTCTGCCTATCCATTGCTTTTAGTTCTGCTTGAGTCCAGTCCACTATTCCAGCTGTGTACCTAATGACTGGGATTGCCCAGGTGTTGATTGCCTTTATGGTATTTCCTCCATTATTATTATTATTATTATTATTATTATTATTATTATTATTATTATTATTATTATTATTATTATTATTATTATTACCTGGACCTGAATCCAGTCAAGGAATTACCAAGAAGAAAACAACATTCTACTAACACTGACAGGGCAAGCCACATATATAAATAAAGAGCAAGCCCCGCTCCCTTCTAGCTCTGATGATTTTACCCAGTTGGGTAATGAAACATCTACAAGAAATCAACCCATCTCAGAGAGCCCACAGTTCTCCTCCTCCTCGTCGTCCTCTTCCTTGTCCTCCCCACAGACCCCATTCTCTTGTAGCGCTGATGACATTACCTAGTTGGGTAATGTAATGTCTGCAAGAGAACAACCAAGATCAGAGAGCACCAAGGACCCCACAACAGCAGATATTTCCAGGCTGTCAACTTTCCACAGCTGGATGACGGTGGTCAAGCTCGTTGTCAATGCTGCAAATACTGTATATTCTTGCTTTGACAATATGCAAAACTGTCTGGTATTTTTTGGGGTTAATGCAGAGCTTAGAGAGTGGGGGTAAAGCCCGGGAAAGAAAGAGGAAGAAAACCTTTGACCTTCACACTAATTGGATAATGTGATATATGAGGGCTAGTTTAGGGAGGGGACATGCTGATAATTTAACTTCTCAGAGGAAGAGAACTTAGATCTTAGCATAAACTCCGTTATGCCTATGCCGACATTTTGACTTTTAGGGAAATCAGTGCCTGGAAGTTCTTTGAAGTGTTTCATTAGCCGGAACCATAACACTCGTCTTCCGCGATGCTCACCTGGAAAACAAAATCCTCCTCAAACTGAGGATTGAAATTTTTGCGCTTTGTTTTGGATTGCAAGTAACGCCTTTCGTCTGGGAGCAGGTAGATCTTCACCAAGGGGTTGCAGGATCCAGAAGGAGGCTGCAGCTTCCGGGCTTTAATCAAGGAGACTAGTAGCCTTTCGGACTCTTTGTCATATTCCACGGAGAACCAAAGCCGGCCAATATTTCCTTCCGGGAAGTCCGTCTCGCTCTCGTCTTCCGGAAAACGGTAGAGTTCTGGATTGATGGTCCCTCCAAGGTATGCTCCAGCTGGAGGAGAGAAAGGAAACAGCCAACCTCACTAAGTTCAAAACATGAAGTGGGTAAACACGTTTAAAACCTAATTTATTGGGGACCCAATTCTTTTATACTGGATTTTTATTGTTTGGAAGCCACCCAGAGTGAGAGAGAGTGGCGGCCACCTAAATCGTCTAAATTAAATAAATAAAAGTAGGCATTTGTTGAAAACTCAACGCCCGTTGTCTTTCCTAATCAACTCTTACAAACTTAACTTTTATCTAAAGACAAATTTCTGTGGGATCACGTAGGTCTGAAGCCAATCCAGGTCTGGAACAAATGTGCACGTACGGTATTTTGAGTTACACTGAAAATACAGGAAGCGGATCGTGAACCATATTGCACCATCCAAATAGGTCCTGACCCTTCACAATTTTAATCATTTTGCTGCCCTGTTTCTGGAAGATACATTTGTTTGTGCAGTCTCACAGGAAACCATTTCATTTAAACAGGAAAGGACTTTATTTAAACAGCAACGCAATAGCAACGTTCATTGAACTTAAGACTGAGATGGGATTTGGGGGCAAAAGCCGATGCCTGGCGTTTTAGTCAGTGAAACGGTACCCACCTACCTAAAGAATGGAAAGACGATCGGGGTGCAGAATCTGGAGTAACGTAAAGTTCATTCTCCTCTTGAATTTGTTCTCCGTTTAGCACATCGGCCCACCCTTGTCGATGAAATTTGGGCGGGACAATGAAAGGAACACTTTTTGCTCTGTCCAAAGGCAAACACAGCATTGAGTTATATTAAAGAAACAAACAAACAAACAAAACAAAACAATATCCGAAATTGAACTGCTCTGAAAACAGCTGCAGGCCAGGTTGAAATATCTGGAAGGCTTCTAAATGAAGTGGGAGAAATTGGAGCTTAAATCCGCCCGGCTTGAAATCAAAGGGACTTAAAAGGGTGTTTGACATGCATTGGATCAAGCTTGTTGCTTCCCAGCCCTTTTCTGGAATTACATTTTCTTTTTCGTCTCCTAATCGTACTTATTTACAGCGGCCGGCTGTAAATAAGTTTAAAAAAAAAAAAGCAGCCCATAAAAGCAGGCTGAACAAAATAAGAGCAATAAAACCACCATGCAGGTCCGACAAAACAAGACCAAATAGTCAACCTAAAATTAAGAGGGAAGGGTAAGAGAACTTCCTTGGAGCATCGTTTCAAGATTGGAACACCTTAAAGTCTTTTTTAGACAACAGCTGCTGATTAAAAAACTTGGCAACTGAGTGGATAAGACAGGATTCCAATTGCAGAACAGGAATAGACTACCTCCCTTTCAATGGAAATGCAGAAAAAGGAGGAGGAGGAGGAGGAGGAGGAGGAGGAGAAAGAGAAGGAGGAGAAGAAGAAGCAGAGGAAGAGGAGGAGGAGGAGGAGGAGAAGAGGAGGAGGAGGAGAGGAGGAGGAGGAGGAGGAGGAGGGGAGGAGGAGGAGGGAGAGGAGGAGAAGAAGAAGAAGAAGAAGAAGAAGAAGAAGAAGAAGAAGAAGAAGAAGAAGAAGAAGAAAAAAGAAGAAGAAGAAGAAGAAGAAGAAGAAGAAGAAGAAGAAGAAGAAGAAGAAGAAGAAGAAGAAGAAGAAGAAGAAGAAGAAGAAGAAGAAGAAGAAGAAGAAGACGAAGAAGAAGAAGAAGAAGAAGAAGAAGAAGAAGAAGAAGAAGAAGAAGAAGAAGAAGAAGAAGAAGAAGAAGAAGAAGAAGAAGAAGAAGAAGATTAAAACCAGTAAGAGGAGAAAGAGTAAGAGGGAGAAAGCCAAGTCTTCTTTACTTTTTTACTTATTTTAATTTGAAAAAAAATAATAATAGATAAATCCAGAAGATTTAGATTTTTCTGTGGAAAGATGGTTTTGGATTGAAACCCAACTTTAACCACAACATTGCCCAAAAAAGATTACTACAAATCATGGCTGAATTACTTTTTGTGTATCATCCCGGGACAAGCAGATTCTGAAATGTGACACATCTTGCTTTCATTTCTCTTCAACCACCCTGGGGAAATTAATTCATCTAAAGATAACTTCAATCTAATTACAAGAGTAGACAGCAAGCTCTGAAAATCTGCTTAGATATTTTAATTACAAAGCACGGCTGTCCTAGAGGCTTCAACAACCTTTTAATGGCGGATCAATGCCAAGGTTTGAAATCAATGGTTGGGAACTTGATGTGAACAAGTTGTGTGCATTCTGCCCCAAAAAATTCGAGAGTTTTTTTCCCAGTTTACCCAATTCTCCTCCCTCCCTCTTTATTATCTTTCCTGGAATATCTTCTGTCTCCAATTAGCTAGTAATTAGAAGGAAGCGTTTTCCCCAGGTCTTCAAAGGAAAAAAAGAAATCTGTTGAATCTCTCTTTTAATGTGATGTGCCTTTAAGTTATTTGTGCTTATTTTATTGCTCACATTGTTATTATGCAGACAGGGAAAAGCTGAGCAAAACATCTGCTGTTCATTTCATTTATTGAATAATTGTGTGATTTTGGGAACCCTTGGGTTGGGGGTCTTAAATACCTGCGTTATTTTTGTGCATTTCTTTGGCTACTTGGTAGAGAAGAACGGAAGATGAGGGACTCAAGATGTCTCCAGCCCAGTGTTCAGAGAGGCCTTGGAGTCCATCCCCAAAGCCTGACCCAACTCAGGGTGGATTGTCCATCCCCAAAGCCTGACCCAACTGAGATGACCCACTTGAAACTTGACTGGATTCCCCATCCCTGGCACAGGAAGTAGATCCCAAAGAATTTGATGATGCAGAGAGAGCTTCTACATCTCGGTCCCTGAAGGGTAGATGATGGCCAGCAGAAAATACCTTTGTACCTGGCATTTTGAGGAGGAACTGAAGTTGATTGAGCAACATCTGGCTCCTGCAGAACCGGGGTGACTGGATCAGTCAGTTCTTCATAAGAGCCCTTGAGATATTTACTCTTCCAAAAGAGGTAGGCGGCTAGTCCCAGAAGGACCAGAAGCAGAAGTCCAGCTACTATCCCACCAGCCACAGCAACTGCCTGTTCTGGGTACACAAAGACTCACATGCATGCGGTGGAAAGTGAAGACATCCACTTCCCAAAGGAAAAAAAAATCATATTGCCCAACATTCTGACAGGTGTTTATTTTGTGCTTAATGCTCCAGCTTTATCTCCATCACTTTCCTTCAAGTATGCCACACTTCTCTTTGTCCTTTCAGGCCAACCTCAGCTCTTATCCAGGGGCTATTTGACATCTCCACCCAGTGCCTTCCACTCAATTGGAAAGGACCATCTTGACTCTTGTCCTATAGCCAACAGGCCAAATAAATAGAATTGTGTCTCAACGTTCAAATACCAGAGAAGTCATAGTCACGTTCGCCAACTGCGCTACGCGCCAAGGGAGTGTATAATGGGCACCCGTTCTCCCTACTGTTCCTCTTTCAAGACGGGTCCAGACCCAACCCTTCTCCAAATGGAAGAGATCCCCTGAGGATCCCTGGAGGAAATCAAGTGGTTCCTTAAAAGTAACATTTAGCAATTACCTACCCCTGAAGTTGCCATACATGCTGGAAAAAATGAACATCAGCCCCATTTCAAGCAAGAAAGGAAAGGGAGGACATTGCTGCTAGCCCTCCCTCCGGGACTAAGTTACAAAGCCATTGAGTCACCATGATTGCACTGCGTGTAAATGCGTTGGAAGGTACTGGTAGAAGGGAATATTTGTAGCTCAAGGGTCAGCTGTGGGGTCCTTGGTGTTCTCTGAGCTTGGTTGTTTTCTGGCAGGTGTTTTATGATCCAACTAGGTAAGATCTAGTAAACAGAGCAAATCCCCCCCCCTTGTAGCGCTGCTGATGTTAGCTAGTTGGCTAATGAAACATCTGCATGAAGACAAGCCAGCTAGGAGGACTTCAAGGACCCCACACCGCAGCACTGACATTTTTCATGATGAGGTTCTTTGGCCCCAAAACAGCTGGCTTGGGCAACAGTAGAAGACTCCACCGTGCAAACATCTCCCAAGGATTTTGTTTGGAAGGCTATCAGAGGCATATTGGGGCCCTTGGCTTGTCTGTAGTCCCAACACAAAGAGCAATCTGGGAGAAATAGTAGAAGGAAATCGCCAGCACTCCTTCAGCCTTTTTCTCTCAATGTTCAGCATTTTCAACCACAAGCACTCAAGCGGAGGAGACATCAGCAAGCCATCAACATAAACCTTGCATCACTTTGCAGCTATTAGCAATATTTTGCCTCTTGGAAAAACACAACTGTTGATTTATGGGGCCAGCGTGGAGTTCATCCCTTGTTTCGTTATCTCCCACCCCGTCAATAAAGTGTATGGTTCATTTCCTTCTCTAGCCCTTTAATAGACATTGGATTTATCCGTGTCAGAAATAGGTGCCTGTTTCAGAGAAACGATGGCATACTAGCACATCCCTACCTGGGATTCTAGATTGTAAGCATGATGCTCAAGGAACTTTAAGCGGAGGGGGAGGCTGGTGGCTGCCATCATCTGGCCAGGAAATGAGGCTGGCCATTTTCCATGAAAGTTCAGCATTAATATTTAAAAAATGACCTGTAGACATCAACACGGATTCATGCAGATCAACGGTACAGGCTTGATTTATATGTAAAAGTTCCTGTCGCAGCTTTGTGAAAATGCAGCAATGGTCCTGCCTTGCTAATCGGAAAAAAACAAAACAGCAAGAAGCTGAATACGACCAGAATATTCTCGTTTTTTTGTGCATTCCTTGCATTCGTACGCAATCACTTGGCTAGCCCGTGAGCGACAGGAATGCAAAGGTCTCATTCCTTCCTCTGGCAGCGGACAAGTGAAATGAGATATAAAATAAATAAAGGCAAGACTGAAGTGCATTTTTAAGGATGCAGCAACGGGTCTGGCTTGGGAAAAAAATAGAATGTTCTTCCTCAGCCTGAAGGGCACAACATCTCCTTAGCTTTCGCCTCTGGGAAACCTCAAAAATGGCAGAGAAAAGGCTGGTGATCTTGTCGATGGGATCTCAGGGTTCCTCTCTCTCTCTCTTTCTGAAATAATTGTCATTCATGAGATTGGAAAAAGAGGGAGGACAACTACAGTAGCTGGAAAGGGATACAGGTCGTCCTCATCTTACGACTACAATGGAGCCCCAAATTTCTCTTATTAAGCGAGACCTAGGTTGAGTGAGTGTTGCCCGATTTTACAACCTTTTCTTGCCACAGTCAATTACTGCAGTTGTTCAGTAACGTGGTTGTTAAGTGGATCTGGCTTTCCCCCCATTGACTTTTCTTTTCGGAAAGTCACAAGAGGGGAATCACGTGACCCCGGGACACACTGCGACCGTCGTAAATACGAACCGGTTTGCCAAGCGTCTGAATTTTGATCCCTTGACGAGGAGGATGCGGGAACAGTCCTCATTGTGAAAAAACGATCGTGTCACATTTTTTCAGTCCTGTTGTAACTTGGAATGGTCTCTGAACGACCTGTTGTTAAGTTGAGGGATTGCCTTTATTTGTTTCCTTAACTTTACAAGGACTTGGTGAGTAGAGACGCTAGGTGTGATTACTGCCAAGTTTCCAGCGTCAGTTTCAGAAATATGTCAAAGGAAAAAAAATCTCCTCTGTGGGGGGTGGACATTTTTCTCTTAACTCCCCGGAACTCTCTCTTTTTGATCAAGTCCCTCAAACGTCAACACCTCCTGAAGACGGTCTGAGATCTTATTTCCTCAGGATTTGCTTTTAACGCCTTTTTTTGTTAGACCAGTGCAATCTCCAGATTTAGGGACTCTTGTCAAACGTTCCTTCAGCCTGCAAAGAATTTAACAGCCGTTCAGACTGAGAATTAGAAAGAGTTGGATAAGGGAGCAGATACCCTGATGAAGTAAAGGTAAAATGTGGAGAAGGTAAGAACGCCGTAGAGTATTGAGAAAGGAATTTGGTGTGCTGTTCTCTTTACATCGTAAGAACAATACACTTTTAAAAAAAAGAGAGAATTACAGCCCAAATTCAAAATAGAGGTCTGTACTTCGAAAACCCAGATAGAGGATGCTCTGGTCTAGGCTGTAGATATTCCTGCAGATTGTGCAAACGGGTGGAAGGGAGAACCAAGGGCACCTACTCAGATTCTTTAATTCTGCGTATCAACAGTTGGTAACTTAAAGCTTAACTCCATACCTTGTCTGCTGGGTCCAGCTGGACAGAAATATCAGCTAAGCCGAGAAAAGTAAGACAGAGTCTCACTTTCAAAACCACCCTTGGCTGAATCAGAGACACGTTCCAAGAGACCTGGCGATGGATGCCACTAAGCGAGCATCCACAAGTGAGATATGTTTGCCCTGCTCCTCTGACTCTTCTCTCCCATCTCCAAAGGTGGAGCTCCTGCTCTGAGCAATAAGGATGTTCCTTACCAGACATGGCACCTAGGCAGGAGAAACTGTGAAGTTCTCAGGATCTTCCGTTGCACTGCAGATCAGAGCTTCAATTCCATCTTGGACCCAACTCTTCAACGCACCACTTTTCCCTCGCAGTTGTCCTCTTCTGCTCTCCTCTGATGTATCTGAGGTGGTGGTGGTGGTAGCAGCAGCAGCAGCAGCGGGAGCAGTAAGACTTCTTCTCAGCTGCAGTTCCTCTTCTCCCCACAGCCTCCTTCAGATCTGATATACCTGTGATTGATCTGAGAGACGAAAGCTGCAAGAACTCCATTCAGTCCGTCCCTGCCTGCCTTTGGCTGTTGAAGAACCAGCTCCTCCTCCTGGTCAAAAACCAGCTCCTCAATGTTTCAGGGCTTGGGAGAAGCTGCCAATTCAAGGGAGGAGGTAGCAAATGAGCCCAGCAGGGCAGCAGCTCCCTCTTTCTTCCTGGAAAGAGAGGAGTTAGCTCCTGGCTCTGAAGCATCCTTCTGACCTCAACTGTCTGGGATGGAGAAGTGGAGCAGAAGAGCAAACTCTAATGAATTATTCTTGCTTTGGCTTTCACATTAAATCAAGCCTCATCCATAGTGTGCTGCAGCTGCCAAAAAAGCCAACTCAGTGCTGGGCTGCATTAACAGAGGGATAGAATCAAGATCACAGGAAGTATTAATACCACTTTACAATGCCTTGGTAAGGCCACACTTGGAATCCTGCATCCAGTTTTGGTCACCACAATGTGAAAAAGATGTTGAGACTCTAGAAAGAGAACAGAGAAGAGCAACGAAGATGATCTGAGGGCTGGAGGCTAAAACATATAAGGAACGGCTGCTGCAATTGGGTATGTCTTGTTTAATGAAGAGAAGGATGAGGGGGGACAGGATAGCAATGTTCCAATATCTCAGGGGCTGCCCCAAAGAAGAGGGAGTCAAGCTATTCTCCAAAGCGCCTGAAGGCAGGACAAGAAGCAACAGGTGGAAACTGATCAAGGAGAGAAGCAGCCTAGAACTAAGGAGAAACTTCCTGACAGTTAGAACAATTAACCAGTGGAACAACCTGCCTCCAGAAGCGGTGAATGCTCCAACACTGGAAGTTTTTAAGAAGAGACTGGACAGCCATTTGTCTGAAATGGTGTAGGGATTCCTGCCTGAGCAGGGGGTTGGACTAGATGACCTCCAAGACCTATCCCTTCCAACATTATTATTATCATTCATCGCACAGTCAGCCAGATGTTCAGACTGGATTTGGCATTTTGTCTACCTATCGAGTCCTTACCCAGGACCTGGGATAGGCAGATGTGGATGTTTGATGGTATTACAGATATCGTCGCAGGATGGAAGCAGTTCCTAATAAGGCCGCCTTTTGCAATTGACTAATAGCGAATTTGTCAATGCCAATGGTGTTCAAGTGGTGCTCCAGTTGTTTTGGGATTGCACCCAAGGAGCCTATTACTATTGGTACTACCCTTGCTTGCTTTTGCCACAGTCTTTCTATTTCTATTTGTAGGTCTTTGTATTTTGTTATCTTCTCCAGTTCTTTCTCTTCTATTCTGCTATCTCCAGGCACTGCCACGTCCACTATCCAGACTTTTTTGTCTTTCTTATCGACAATTGTTAAGTCTGGGGTGTTATGTTGCAGGTGCTTGTCTGTTTGAATTCTGAAGTCCCAGAGCAGTTTAATTTTATCATTTTCTATGACTTTCTCTATTTTATGATCCCACCAGTTTTTGCTTACAGGCAAATGATATTTTTTGCAGATCTTCCAATGCACCATTGTTGCTACTTTGTCATGCCGCTGCTTGTAATCAGTCTGTGCAATCTTCTTGCAACAGCTTACCAAGTGGTCCACTGTTTCTTCAGCTTCTTTGCATAGGCGGCACTTACTGTCTGTTGCTGTCTTCTCAATTTTGACTTTGTATGCATTTGTCCTTAAGGCTTGGTCTTGTGCAGCCAGAATTAGTCCCTCGGTCTCTTTCTTCAATTTTCCTGCTCTTAGCCATTGCCAGGTTTTATTATTATCTGCTTTCCCAGCTATTTTTTTCATGTATTGGCCATGTAGTGCTTTGTCTTCCCATGCCTCTATTCTGTTCTTCATTTGGTCTTTCTTGTAGGCCAGTTTGGTCTCTCTCAGTAGTAGTAAGCCTTCCTGATATACTAATTTCAGTGCATCTTCATCATTGTTCTTCAGATATTCTTCCAAAGCCATTTTTTCTTCTTCAACCATCTGATGTACTTGTAGCATTCCACGCCCACCTATTTGCCTTGGTAGATAAAGTCTATCAATGTCACTGCGTGGATGAAGGGCATGATTCATTGTCATTATTTTTCTGGTCTGCCTATCCATTGCTTTTAGTTCTGCTTGAGTCCAGTCCACTATTCCAGCTGTGTACCTAATGACTGGGATTGCCCAGGTGTTGATTGCCTTTATGGTATTTCCTCCATTGAGTTTGGACTTTAAGATCTTCTTCACTCTCTTGATGTATTCACCTCTAATCTTTTTCTTGACTTCAGTGTGCTTGATGTTGTCAGCTTGAAGGATACCCAAGTATTTGTAGTATTCTTCCTCATCCAGACTCTTAATGTTATTTTCGTGGGGCATCTTGATTCCTTCAGTTTTCACTATTTTTCCTTGTTTGATAGTAAGTGTGGCACATTTGTCCAAGCCAAACTCCATTACAATATCTTGGCTATATATACGGACAGTGTTGAGCAGCGATTCTATTTCAGATGATGTTTTTCCATACAGCTTCAGATCATCCATGTAAAGGAGGTGGGATAGTCTAGCAGATGTTTTTGATGTTTGATAACCATGTCCTGAGTTATTCAGTATTGTTGACAGAGGAAACAGTGCAATAACAAATAGTAATGGTGATAATGAATCTCCTTGAAATATTCCTCTCTTGATATTAACCTCTCCCAGCTTCTCACCATTGATCTGCAACTGTGTCTTCCATTGTGCCATCGATCTTTGCACAAATTTTCTGATGTTTCTACTGACTCCTGTTATTTCTAGGCACTTTATTATCCAATCATGTGGCAGAGAGTCAAATGCCTTTTTGTAGTCAATCCATGCAACATTCAGGTTGGTCTTCCTTCTCTTGCAGTTTTCCAAGATCATTTTGTCTATTAGGAGTTGATCTTTTGTTCCTCTGCTATTGGGGCGGTTTCCTTTCTGCTCAGGTGGAAAGAGATTGTTTTCAACTAGATGCTGTTGTACTGCATCAGCTACCACACCAGTTAGTAATTTGAATGTTGTTGGCAAGCAGGTAATTGGCCTGTAGTTACCTGGTGTTGCCCCTTTTGCTGGATTTTTCATTATTAGGTAGGTTTTCCCAGTTGTTAGCCACTTTTCAATTTCTCCTCCTTGTAGTATATTGTTGAATTGCTTGGCAATGAGTGGGTGTATAACAGTTAGATGTTTCAACCAAAACCCATGCAGTTCATCTTCACCTGGTGCTGACCAATTTTTGATTTTCTTTGCTCTTTTTTCTACCATTTTTGTTGTTATTACTAGTTCTTTCATTTCAACTTCTGTTTTATTTGCATCCACCTCTTTTAACCAAGCCGCATCCTTGTTGTATTTCTTTGGGTTATCCCATATCTGCTTCCAGAACTGCACTGTTTCTTCCTTGTCAGGTACTGACTGATTCCTTGCAGTTTCTCCATTGATGGATTGGTAGAAACGTTTCTGATTGGATTGAAATTGGAGGTTCTGCCTATAGTTTGCAATTTGAGCTTCATATCTACTGATTTTCCTGGCTATAGCTGTTATTTGTTGCTTTATTATTTCCAGTGCTTCCTTGATCTTCCTTGTTTCTAAGTGGTATTTCTTGATTAGGTATTCTTTGGTCTTCTTGTTCTTCAGCTTCTTTTCTTTCATCTGTTCTAGCTTGCTTGCATGTGATCTTAACTTGCTGATCTTATTTTCTAGTCTAACCTTCCATTTTTGTGGTGCACTGTTGTTGTTTCTTCTTTGTTGATTTTGCATCCCAGGTATTCTGTTATAACTGCAGCTGTGCTGTACATTAGTTGGTTTGTTTCTTGCAGTGAATTGGTGCTTATACTTGCTATTGCAGTATTTGCATCTTTTAATGCTTGTGCTAGCTGTTTCTTTGGAACAAGCTTCAATGCAGGCAGCCTTATTCTGTTGTTTTTGTGCTGTTCTAGATGCTCAATTATTCTTTGTTTCAATTCTTTTATTTCTTTAGTTAGAGGGTTTTGTTCCTTCCTGAGGAAGAGGTGCCTGGTTTCCAAATGAGAACAGTTGTATATCTCTACTGGATTCTTTCACTGCCAACTCCCCCTGGTTTGCCTCTACATTCTGAATTACTTCTTGTAAGGCTTTGATTTCTTTGCCCTGGGTAAACCTTTGCAGTTCGTCCAATTCTGTTTCTGTAAATACTTTATTTCGTGTTATAAATCGGCGTTGATCTGCTAGTCTCTGTTCTGTTATTTCTGATTCTGGATGTTGTTCTTTCCAGAACTGGTGCATTCGTTTTAGATATCCTCGTCTTGTTGGACTTGATCTGTAGTAACAGATCATTATTTCTTTGTTTTCCATCACTGTGTATCTGCGACGGGTAAACACCTTTTCTTCCAGTAGTTCTGCAGCTGCTGGCCCTGGTTGCTCAGCCAACAGTCCTGAGTCCTGTAACCCATTTTTCACCAGATATCCAGGAACTCCAATATCTAGTGCGGACCTTGTTAACCCGGGCGACGTCCGAGCCGGTATGGCATTCTGAAATTTACGTCTCACCATATTTTTTATGGGAGAGACACTCTTTGTCTGACTCCTCTGATGAGACCTGTCCAGTATGGTTGAACCTCTGGCATAGCTCTCATCTTCCTCAGAGTACACAAGCCACACAAGGTAGTACCACGGTCAAGGTAGTGCCTCACTGGGGGATTATTATTATTATTATTATTATTATTATTATTATTATTATTATTATTATTATTATTATTTATCGATCATCGCACAGTCAGCCAGATGTTCAGACTGGATTTGGCATTTTGTCTACCTATCGAGTCCTTACCCAGGACCTGGGATAGGCAGATGTGGATGTTTGATGGTATTACAGATATCGTCGCAGGATGGAAGCAGTTCCTAGTAAGGCCGCCTTTTGCAATTGACTAATAGCGAATTTGTCAACTGCCAATGGTGTTTCAAGTGGTGCTCCAATGTGTGGGATGCACCCACAGGAGCAGGAGCCTATGACTATTGGTACTACCCTTGCTTGCTTTTGCCCCAGTCTTTCTATTTCTATTTGTAGGTCTTTGTATTTTGTTATCTTCTCCAGTTCTTTCTCTTCTATTCTGCTATCTCCAGGCACTGCCACGTCCACTATCCATGGCAGTGCCTGGAGATAGCAGAATATGGATAGTGGATGTGGCAGTGCCTGGAGATAGCAGAATAGAAGAGAAAGAATTATTATTATTATTATTATTATTATTATTATTATTATTATTATTATTATTATTATTATTATTATTATTTCCCTTCCGTGCTCAGGGGAAGGTGGAAAAGACCTGTTTTTCTGGAAACCCTCCATAAGCTTTACCTACTGTGGATCAGCAAGGGGTGCTTTCAGGCCAAAATCTGGCCTTTGAGGACATTTCATTGGAAAGGCTCCATAAATGGATGGCTGTAGAGGCAGACCAGGTACGCTACAGGTATACGTGCTACAGTCTAACCTGCCCATAGCGGAGTTCTCTGCTTCCACGTTGGGTGTGTGGGTGGGCTGGGAATACCAGGAATAGCCAAGGAAACCAACAAATAGATCATTGAGACAATCAACCAGAGGAGTGAAAACTCAAAACACAAATGACCAGGCTCAAATGGTCATCTTTGAAGATCTAGACTTCCGGAGAAGTCTACAATGCTGAGAAAAAGTGGAAAGAGAAGAAAAGGACGACAGCAAGGCGGATGGACTCAACTGCAGCAACGACGGGAGCGTAGTTGGAAGACAATGGAAGACCAGGTTCGCCCTGCCTTCTGAATTTAAAAAAAATAATAAAAATTAAAAAAAAAAATAATTAAAGGGGTGGCTTAGGTGGCCAATCCTGGAATTCCTGCTTTTTATACTTGGCACGATTACTAGGTCGGCCACTGTTGTGATGGTTGGGTCCTACCCTACTGGGAGTCTCCCCTCCTCCGTTCACAAGGCTACCAGTTCAGGATCTGTTGGAAAGTGTGTCTGTTCCTTTGTGTTCCCTCTCTGCAGGGGAGCACAAGACAGACAGGGTCAAAGACGCACGTGGTCCCAGCCTCATCTGATCAGCAGGCAGCTCCTTCCACTCCACTTTGGAACTGCTCCTCAGTGCGGAGAGCCCCAAGCTCTTACACGTCCAGCTCTAGAATCTTCTTTATTCCAAACATGTTTGGCATGAGCTTCTCTCCCTGACATCGGCTGCCCCTTTCACATTGCCCCAAGTTGGTGGGTCTGGCTGCATTCACTGCTTTATCTCCTTTGCTTTTAAGGCCCCCCTTTCTCTTCTCTTCTCTTCTCTTCTCTTCTCTTCTCTTCTCTTCTCTCTCTCTCTCTCTCTCTCTCTCTCTCTCTCTCCTCCCATTCTTGTTCTAATCTGATGAAACACATAGGATTATCTCCGTCCCTCGTGGCCTGTCTCCATTTTGTTCCCTCACGGTCTGTTGAGCTGGGGAGTGGGGGAGAGTGGGGTAAGGAATCACAGAGAGAGGTTATGGGGTCTTCCCTGTCACTGGCAAGGAGAGGACCATGTCCTCTTCTCTGATCTTGTTGGGTTGCCTTCCTCAGCTTCAATTCCCCCCGAAGAAAAGATCCCACGGGAAGTTCAAAGCTCTCCCGAGGCTGATCGGGTTTTGCCACTGGCTCCTGAGCATCCTTTTAGACAACTCCGTCTCAGATCTGGACGGTGAAATCTCGGGGTGCGGAAGGAAGGTAAGGATCTTTGCAGACTGTCTTTCATTCTTCCCCCTCCCGTTGACCGAAACCTTATTTTAGAAGCTGGTTTTTGGGTGAATAACAAAGGGGAATTCTGTATACATTAGAAAAAGCAACGGAGGCAGAAGCAGGCAGGGGGTGTAGAGACAGGAGACCTGATTAAAAAAAACAACCAGAGCAATTATCCAGTTTTATTCTAGAGACAGAAAGAGAATCGCTCCTAAAAAAGTCCAATCAGAAGCTAAGAAATACAATCAAATCAGTGATTCTGAGAGTGTGCTTCATTAGAGGAATTTTAAGAAAGCGTTTGCTCAAGCTGTATGGTTTACATATGTTCATTCCTTCTACCTGATGTGTTAGTAAAGAGAACTTGATGGTTGTTTGAAGGGAAAGTGAAGATATACTTGATATATTTGCTCTTCTCTCTACTTCTTCCAGATTAAGATACAAAACAGGTTCTAAAATTAAGTTGATGACTTCTAGAACTGGGCCTTGGGCTTAGCTGAAGTCTGTGCGTCTCGTATTGATTTCTGATAATATTTTAGAGATGTAGATAATAGATGTCTTGCTCTCCATGGAAATACAGGGAGAACGCAAAATAATTTTACTATTATTTCATTGTCTGTGGCATCCTCTTTAGTGACTGATCTATTGACTATAATAGTCTGCAATACTATAGCTCAGCCCTGTAATTATCTGAAAGGAAGCCAGCTTTGTATTAATCCTTAGTTATAGCCATTAAAAAAAATGAGAGATGGGTCCATTCTTAGCTTAGATGACAGCCCTAGCAGCTAAAAACATTTTGATGGATGTAAACGAGAGACGATTAATTTAAAGCCGGTCAAATTAAACGACGCTGGCAGATTTGAAACGCCAGAAAATTAGACAGATCTATTGGCTGACATACATGAGGTCAATTGTTTCTTTCTCCACCAGGAAAAAAATATTGTGTTTTATCGATTTGTATTCCTTTCCTTTTAATCGGGCCCGTTCAATGGTGGTATTAAATATGAATCTGGAGATGGAACATATCTGCCTGAACGGATAAAATAATATGCAAAAAAAGGGATTATAATAATGTTAGTGGGGTGGGGAGGTTTGCTGCAGTAACAAACCATAGGATTACTCCTGTAGAAAAGTGAAGCTTAGGACTGAGATAAATGAGATCGCATGCCATTTGTGCAGAATTAAATAAACAAGGAAGGGCGCACACGATGTCTTTGAATGCGAGGAAATGTAACAAGGTTTAACAACATACAAATGAGGTTATTGAAAAACAGAACACGGGAAATTTCTCCCCCAAAATTTCATGTCTCATTTATGCAATGCAGAATTGGGGTTTTTCCAGAGCATGTCAAAAATTAAAGGGGACGTAAACAGGAACTTGTAGAATCAAACAGCCGGCATATTCAGGAATGGCGTCTTTCTTTCCTTGGAGACTAAATTGATCCTCTTTATTTGGTGTCTTGACACTAGAAAAGAATATTGGGAAATACCTGTGCTTGAAACTTGCTGGTTATTATTATTATTATTATTTGCAAATTTTCAGAAACACAATCAAGATAAAAGAGATAGCACTGGCCATCTTTTTCAAAGGATCTTTTCATTTTGTGTGTGTGTGCAACTCTGTTTCTTTCTTTTTCTTTTTTAATTTCTTTTTTAATTTTAATTTTAATTTATTTTATTTTTTTTTGTGGTAATTAGTGTCCCAGAAGAGATTAAAAAGGCTGGATTAAAAAAAGAACATGTCTCTGGAACCATTAATAGCTATGCTGGATTTCACCCGATAAATGTAGTTGTTAAACTTTAAGAACTTAATGGAATGTACTGCTGCTCAGGCTATAGAGAGAGGAAGGAAGGAAGGAAGGAAGGAAGGAAGGAAGGAAGGAAGGAAGGAAGGAAGGAAGGAAGGAAGGAAGGAAGGAAGGAACAGAGAGAGAAGGAGGGAGGGAGAGAAGGAAGGAAGGAAAGAATAGAGGAAGGGAGGGAAGGAAGGAAGGAAGGAAGGAACAAAGGGAGGGAGGAAGGAAGGAAGGAAGGAACAGAGAGATGATGGAAGGAGAGAAGGAAGGAAAGAACAAAGGGAGGTAGGGAAGGAAGGAAGGAAGACTCAATTATAAACTCGCACTAGTTGGAAACTGGTAGAGAGACAAAACACTCTAAATGTTTTGGCACCATGGCAAACGCACAGCCTCCCTCTTCTCCAGGGGTTCCTGTAATGTACTCCTTAAGGGATGGCCATGATGTTGATAAGCCAGCTTTTAGATTTGCCCTGCTCTTCTTCTAGCAACAGCTTGGAGAGCAGAGAGCAAGCGCATATGAAGCGTTAACTCTCTGCCATGGTGTTCTAGCTCCTTTGTTTCCTTTGGGTTGTTGCAGATGTTATTATTGTCTAAGGAGATTCCCAGTCATCCAGGTCATGGTTGTCCCAAGGTGTTTTTCCAAAAGGCAAACTGGACTTTCTTGGGTTTTTCCTTGAAAATGTTTCGCTTCTTCATCCAACAGAAGCACCTTTGAGACATTTGTTAATATTGCTCTGCTTTAAGGAGGCTAAGAAGAACCACTCAGTCATTCTGTCATCTGCCTGCATTTCTCCCCCCCCCCCTCTCCCTTATCTGTCTATCTGTCTGTCTGTCTATCTATCTATCTATCTATCTATCTATCTATCTATCTATCTATCTTCTATCAATCATTATCTATCTCTATCTATCTATCTATCATTATCTGTCTATCTATCATCTATCTATCTATCTATCTATCTATCTATCATCTGTCATCTGTCTCTATCTATCTGTCTGTCTATCATCTGTGTTTGTCTATCTATCTATCTGTCTATCTATCTATCTATCTATCTATCATCATTTATCTATCTCATCCATCATCTATCTATCTATCTATCTATCTATCTATCTATCTATCTATCTATCTATTATCTATCTATCATCTGTCATCTGTCTTTCTCTGTCTATCTATCTGTCTGTCTATCATCTGTCTGTTTGTCTATCTATCTATCTCATCCATCCATCTATCTATCTATCTATCTATCTATCTATCTATCTATCTATCTATCTATCTATCTATCATCCATCCATCCATCTCTATCTGTCTGTCTGTCTGTCTGTCTATCTATCTATCTAATCCATTATCTATCTATCTATCTATCTATCTATCTATCTATCTATCTATCTATCATCCGTCCGTCCATCCATCCACCCATCCATCCATCCATCCATCCATCCATCCAACTCTCTCTGTCTGTCTATCTATCTATCTATCTATCTATCTATCTATCTATCTATCTATCTATCTATCTATCTATCTATCTATCTATCTAATCCATCATCCATCTAACCAGGAAGGTCTTTTGAGAAGCTGTTCTCCTCTTTTATAGACTTCATCTAGTTTGGCATTTGAGACCTACAGTGTTTAGAGTGTTTCGTCTTTAGACTTCAGAAACCCAGAGGTGCACAAAAGCTCCCCAAATAAATGAAGACCCAGGAAACCCCAGCTGCAGGAAAGAACAGAGTAAACACTGTTTTGAAAGCCCCATTGATTTCAATGCTCTTCAAGGGCCTCGTGCTCTGAAAACCGTAGCTCGGGTGTTCGATATTGGGCAATGCAAGGACAGGAATTCATTGCCCAACTCGAACCAGGCTCTCTAAGCATCTGAGTTGACTGATAATCCTGTCTTTTCCTCCTCTAGTGCTGCCACTCGCCATGGCAAATAAAGACCACCAGCTCCACATCCACTCCCTGGGCCAAACCTTGAACTGTCTCTATCAGAATAATCTGCGTGTCAACTGCCACCCTCTGCCAAAGAGCTCCACAAACCTAGAGGGCATCAGGCAAGGAACTTCTGAGGAAGGTCTTAGCCACACACGGGACCTCCCCAAAAGCCTCAGCGGTTCTGTTTGCCAAGCCCAGGAGAAGGGGACCACCGCTGGAAGAATTCTTAGCGGCTTCTCTCCACAAGACAGCGCGCAACGTCCCACCAGAAACAGCAGCCACTTCTTCAGTGTCGACCAGTCCCCAACATCTGAAGAAGGGATGATGTATCCTAGAGCCTACCTCCGGAGCAGTCCTGTTGAGAAGTCAACTCCAGCCTCTGGTGCCAACCTCCAACATCAGTGGACAATGGAGGGTCCTGGAGTTGCAGTCCGGAGAAGCCTCTCTGACTTCGCCTGTAGCTGCAAGCAACCGAGTCCCACCTTCCACATGGAGTCAAGTGCCACATCCCCTGCCATATGTTCACACAGTGGTAACTTTGCTTTGGCCGACAGACTGAGGATTGCAGGCCTGAGATATGGAGCGGACCCTTATGAAAACAGCCCAGATTTGCAAAGCCATAGGATGGTACCTGCTAATGTCTTTCACAAAGGTGCAACATCACCCAATGTTGCTATTTTTACAGACTCCGGAGCATATCACACAAATGTTCTTGGTCCAAGCACTCCCAGTTTCTCCAGTAGGACAATGCATGCACACAGTGGAATAGGACACACTAGCAATATTTCAACTGGCGGGTGCCCACCTGGAATGGTGACCATTCCTAACGGCATTCCTCTGACCTACAACCAATGCCACGTGTCTTCTGCGAAGGAAGAAGGCACCGTTCCTGCCTACTGCCATTCCTTACCGATACCTTCTCTTCAGTTTACCCCAAGGCTAGTGTACTCAGTTAATGAATTGGGTGAAGAACAAGTCAACCCCGAGGGCTGTTCATCTTTGCTCGCTACTGAAGTCTCCTCCATGAATGGGTCAGGTCAGGAAGCCAACCACAATCTGGGATGCTGTCGGGCCCACGGGGAGCGTGTGCTGCACTCTCAGCCTTACGGACGAGCAAACAAGGCTCAAGAGGAAATGAAGACCATGTATGTGGTATGGAACAGCCACCAAGATGGGGTTCAGACAGTCATGACGACCAAAGACACCTGGACCATGACGTCTATGAATGATCTCACCCAGGGATTCCAGTCTCCACTGGACTACAGGGACGCGGAAGTACAGACGTTCCCAGGAAAGGAATGCAAGTCCGTGGCAACCAGCCCATCTGTTCTGGCAGAAGGCCACCCTCATGTGTTCCCAGAGGTTAATCTGAAACCAGAGGCTGAGGCCGAGAAGTCTCCCGTGCGGGACGTCAGGTGGGACGACGAAGGCATGACCTGGGAAGTCTACGGGGCAGGGGTTGACCCTGAGGAGCTTGGACTGGCCATTCAGAAGCACTTGGAGTTCCAGATAGAGCAGTTCCAAATGGAACCGGAGACGCTGTCTGCAAAAGCTTCTGAGAAACTGCCCACCAAGGAGGAGAAAAGGATCTCCTTTGGCATGGTGATGCATTGTCTGAGAAATCCGGCCTGCTGTGCACGGTCCAACATGGCAGTGGAGTGAACTCCGTGCAAAGACCGTCATTCCCAAGCTGCCAATGAATGTCGATTCTTCAAGAGGGGTCAAGGATATCCCAAGAGTGAAGTTTCAGGGAGGCCTCTTGGTGCCCTGGACCTTCACAGCCCTACTTGTACAGGACAGGCCTCCAAAGAAAAAGGGGGAAGGAACCATCACCAGAGCCAGTAGCATCATCATCACCACCACCTCCTTCTCTGCAGCCTTTTGAGGCAATGATGATCTGCATCAGGAGCACCACCACCCATACTGCATGTTCCTTCTCTACTCTCTAAAAGTGGAGAGAGATGGGATGGGACTTGCTGGTGGTAAGCCTCATCGTGCTCTCTTGAGACCTTAATGGGTCTCCTGCAGCACTGGCAGGGGAGGAACGCCAGATGACCATCCTTCTTGGCTTCTCCTACCTCAGTTGCTCTACCATGAGGTCTTTCTGACTCCTGCCCCTTTTGCCTGGAGGCCCACAAAGATCCATTGTTTCTCCTGTGCAATGCAGGATGTCCACTTGGAACTGAGCTGGCCACAACAGGAATGTCCTCTACCCACCAGAGATGCTACGGAATACTTTCTCAAAGGACAACCTAGCCCTAGGCCAGGGGTAGGCCACCTTGGCTCTTTTATGACTCGTGGACTTCAACTCCCAGAATTCCTGTGCCAGCATGGCTCAGCTTGGAAACCTCTCCCTTTCCCCTCAGTGTGGCTGGCTCAGGAATTCTGGGAGTTGAAGTCCACAAGTTGTAAAGGAGCCATAGTTCCCCCACGCTGGCTCAGGAATTCTGGGAGTTGAAGTCCACAAGTCATAAAGGAGCCATAGTTCCTCCATGCTGGCTCAGGAATTCTGGGAGTTGAAGTCCACAAGTCATAAAGGAGCCAAGGTTGCCTACTCTGGCTGCCTAGACACTACAGAGGAAGCAAACTCTTCATTTCACTTGCAGACAGTACAAAATCTTACTTGTGGAATAATCTTGGTGCATTTGATGGGGAAGATCATTCCACTGACAAACACTTTTCCTTAGCTTTGTAAGGATTTCTGCTCCTACAACCTCCTACTTCCTTCGTTTTTGGTTTTCTGGAAGGTCTGAAACCCCCGTCTCCAATCTGGATTAGCCGTCTGCATACACCACAAACCTGATACAATAAGAAGTATGTGAAGACTCTAGTCTTCACATACTTCTTATTGTATCATGTTTGTGGTGTATGTCAGTGTAAACCTGGGTTCTAAACAGGATGTGACTAAGCAGCAAAACAAAACAAAAAAAAATCTTTGCCTCCAGAAGTAGACCAGGAGGTTGAAAAAAAATCCATGGAGAATATTATTGCCTTCTCTTTTCCTACCTGCACCATGTCATCTTGAGTAGCGGGGAATTCTGCTCTGAGAAACCAGGAATGTGACATTATTCCTCCTTCTCTGAATCAAAAACTGCGTAGTTTCCTTTCACGTTCGATCTTTGGGGGGAAATGGAGTCTAAGATCTCTTTTGTTAACTAAGTGAATGGCTGACAACTGTTTAAGTGTATCACTATCTCCTCTCTATAGTTATTAGAATCTCTTCCTCCTGTTGATGTGTGTGTATTTCTACATGGACTGTGGCCTAGATTTTGTACTGTCTCAATGGTGTTTATATCGTTGAAACACTAGCGTGGATGCCGTTTTATACTTTTCATACCAATGCAAATCACGTGTAAGCGATGTATTAAATAGGCAGAGGAACACATTCTTACAGACTTATGCAGAATAACAGAGTTGGAAGGGACCTTGGAGGTCATCTAGTCCAACCCCCTGCTCAGGCAGGAAACCCTATACCATTTCGGACAAATGGCTGTCCAGCCTCTTCTTAAAAACTTCCAGTGTTGGAGCATTCCCCGGTTCTGGAGGCAGGTTGTTCCACTGGTTAATTGTTCTCACTGTCAGGAAGTTTCTCCTTAGTTCTAGGTTGCTTCTCTCCTCGATGAGTTTCCATCCATTGCTTCTTGTCCTCCCGTAGATCAACCCCCTCTTCTGTATGGAATTAAGAGGATCCATTTTCTAAATGTCTTTTTTTCCCCTTCTAGATGGAAGAAGTTGAAATCCCTGTGTGGTTTTGTAGACATGACATTTTGAAAGAAGGTTCCTTTCAATTTTCTTTGGTCCATGAGGACTAACACCCTTGAGGATAGCATTGCTTAGCGACACGGTTAAGCAAGGAACAAACAAACAGAGTTCGCAGAGGCCTGAATTCACTTACAATGAACGCTTAACCTTAAGTTAACCTCCACCTGTTCTGTGATATAGCTACTTCTGCTTCCGGGCATAAAACGTAATTATCTTGTTGAGTTGACATCTACAAAGCAGGCTGCAATTGTCGAGGAAGGACAAACAGATAATGAATTCAATCTCTGGCAAATTAAGATTGAGTCAGTAAAACAGATGCTTGCTTCTTCTCCACTGTGAGTTCTGTCCTGTTGCAACAGCTTATCTTCAAGGGATGTTCCCCTTTGGGTGTCTGTAGGAGGGAGACGTAGGGCCACATGCACCCTGATGTCACTTGACAGGATGACACGGTGATGGCTGTGATCACGGGGAGTTGAGGCAGCTGTCTCTCTAGTCCAGGGATTGGCAACCTTAAACGCTCAAAGAGCCACTTGGACCCATTTCGCAGAGAAAAGAAAACACTGGGAGCCGCAAAACTTGCAGGCGCGCATGGGGGGGGGGGGAAGCTTGATTGAAGAATTTAATTAAAAAGAAATAGAGGCTGCTGTGCATGAGTTCTCTCTCTCTCTCTCTCTCCCTCTCTCTCTCTGATCTTTTGCTCACCTGGCAAGCTGGCTTCCCGCTGTTCTCCGACAAGCTGACATACATTCTTATTGGGCTGGCTCTCTCCTGCCCTTGGTCTGCCAGTCCTCTTCCCCCACTCAGTGTGTGTGTGTGTGTGTGTGTGTGTGTGTGTGAGAGAGAGAGAGAGAGAGAGAGAGAGAGAGAGAGAGAGCGTTGCTGCTTCCTGCTTCCTGCGGAGACGCAGCAGGCTGCTTCCTGCTGAGACGCAGCAGGCAGGAGCCCTGCCCAATAAGCTTGTCAGCTTGTCCGAGAACAGCGTGAGGCCACTCTTTTTACACACACACACACACACACACACACACAGAGTGAGTGAGAGAGAGAGAGAGCCACGTGACTTTTCCATCAAGGACTGCGTCTTATAAGGGAAAAGGGAGCGTTTGCACTAAAGTTGAACTGGACGGGCTTTTGGGGGCGGGAACAAAAAGTCTGGCCAAAAGACTGAATTGTTGCTTTGCCCCAACTCTGGATTGGCCATTAAGCGAAAGGAAAAGAAAGGAAAAGAAAAGAAAGGAAAGAGGGGGGGGGGTGCCACAGAATTATTCCTTCAACTTTCAATCCCTTCACCATTAATTGCCACACTTGCATTTTGGCATGGAGACCCGAAGGTGCTTTTTCCCAAAAGACAACTGGACTTTTCTTGGTGTTTTCTTTGAAAACATTTCACTTCCCATCCAAGAAGCTTCTTCAGTTTGTTTTCAAAGGAATCACCAAGAAGGTCCAATTGCTTTTTGGGGGGGGGAAAAAAAAAAACACCTTGGGACAGCTATGACCTGGATGATGGAGAATCTCCATGGACATTTGGCAAGGTAAAGTTGAAAAGTCATGACCTCGATGAGTGAGAATCTCCATAGACCAGGGGTGTCAAACTCAATTTTATTGAGGGCTGCATCAGCATTTCGGTTGCCCTTGGGGAGGTGGGGTGGTGTGGCCAGGGTGAGTGCGGCCTACTGGATAGGTGTGGATGGAGTGGGTGTGGCCTACTGGATGGGCATGGCCAGCCCTACATCGTTCGCGTCAAGAGTGCCTGTGGGGGCCTGGGCAGGAGTGGGACAGATCTGGGGGTCTCTGGCAGAAGGGGGTGGGACCAGGGCAAGTGCCAAGGCATGGTCCATTTCTTCATTCCTCACAAAGGGTGACACCTCCCCAGCATGCACCCAGGGGGCGGGGCGGATGCGGCAAGGGCTAGTTCCTCGCTGTTTCCGGACAGCCTTGTGGAGCTAAGACTGAATGCGTTTCAGCATAGATGGCCACCACAACATTGTACATTGGCTCCCGGCCAGCCTGGGCCAGGGCCAAGGCAGCGGGGGCCGTTCCCTCACTGTTTCCAGGATGGCTTCGTGGGCCATATGAAACCACTTCATGGGCCGCATCCGGCCCCCAGGCCTTGTGTTTCACATGTCTGCCATAGACATTTAGCAATGCACTTCGGGATGAACACCATCCAAAGGTTGTGGGAGTATGAAGAATCCCAGGCCAAGAAACCTTCACATCCATTTGCACTACTCAGTTCACCCTGAGGACACAGGTAAACCTGCAAAATGGTTTCAAGGGCTCTCTAAAGGAATGCAAATGACCAGCGATCTGCAAGGAACATAAATCTTTCCATCTCCCACCATCCAGTCAGAGCTAAAGATGCTTCTTGGATGAGAAGGCCACACTTGGAGTCCTGCATCCAGTTTTGGTCACCACGATGTAAAAAAGATGTTGAGACTCTAGAAAAAGTTCAGAGAAGAGCAACAAGGATGATCAGAGGTCTGGAGGCTAAAATATACAAGGAACGGTTGCTGGAATTGGAGATGTCTAGTTTAATGAAGAGAAGGACCAGGAGTGACATGATAGCAGTCTTCCAGTATCTCAGGGGCTGCCCCAAAGAAGAGGGAGTCAAGCAGAAATTTGGGGTCCATTGTTGCGATAAGCCAAGGACCAGATGTAGATTGCTCGTCAACGCTCAAGAGGGAAATGGCTGATTTTTTTTTCCCAAAAATCACCCCAAGGATCAACTCCAAGAAGATTGCTGAGTCCTAAGCCCCAATTTCGGTGCTCTCCGATGCACTAATCCCATTGACTGTCTGACCTAACCAGATGTTATCTTCCTGCTGATCGGATTCTCGATGGATCACAGAGCCTGCGTCATCTTAAGTAACGCTGGGTGGGATGTGGGGGTGGAGAATTGGCACTGATGGATGAAAAGGAGAAAGGTAACGATGCTTTAGGTTTGACCAGAGACAAGAAGGAAGGATAAGCATAAGAAGAGCAAAAACTGTCCAGGATGAATTTCAGATCAGGTTTTGAGACTGATTGTTTAGCCAGGTAATCCATCTGACAAACTGTTAAAAACATTGATTTAATGACTCTTGAGTTGAATGCAGCCTGACTAAGCTCTTTCCTGCCACCTCGTGTTCACCTGGGGGCACAGCTCCCGAAATATTATTAAACATTGTTTTAATCTGCAAAAGCAAAATTCCCATAAATTAAGAACGAGCGATGCTCGTAGTGTAACCTGGCTGTGGAGTTACCCAAGGCTTCTTCAGTGGGCTCTCAAATTAAATACATGAAATTAATACCCATAGCATGAGGCTGAATTACAGCCCTCCCATTCACACGACCCCCTAAACCAGGGGTAGGCAACCTTGGCTCTTTTATGACTCGTGGACTTCATTTCCCAGAATTCCTGAGCCAGCTATGTTTTTGAGTCAGGTCTCTCTTAATCTGTATTTGTTACCTTTGGTTTTTCCTGCCTAGATGTAAGACTTTGTTTATTATTTATGTCGATATTTCTGCAAATCAGGATGGACCACTGAGTAGGGAGAGGCAGGGCATACGAAACCGTATCTAGAATGAATTGCAAAACCGCAACACACACCAAAACATATTTGTGATCCTTTGCTA